GAATCATTTTTCTTCACGTTTCCAATCTAATATAGCATAATTTGTTTTAAGATATTCCTCTACAAAGTCCCATTTTATAAATTGACATTTTCTAAATAAAAATAGATTGCCGCCACTCTAATGTCAATGTCTTTGCTCTGCCTTCTCGCAAGCATGCCTACACCACACTGCCATTGTCATCTATGCATGGAGTGGCATTCATAATCGACTGGTGCACTTCCACAGAAAAACACACAGAATACAGCACACAGCACACACTGTGCTCCAGTAAATGGTCTGCAAATTAAGACTGCGCCCGGTGTGAACGTCGAGAAGGGGCAGTGCAGTGCAGCGATGCTCAGTCCCCCCTCTTTTCCCATTCCTCTCCATCTCCATTTGCCGAAACCAAGCAAAGTGCTGCTGAGTTAAACAACGCCCAACTGCGATCAGAGTGTCAATCGAAGTCATGGCATGACGCCGTTGTAAACATGTACCAAGGCAACAATTAACAAAGTGCACTAGTCACTGGAATGCAAGTCAAAAAGCCTGAAAAAAGTGAAATGTCATTCTCGTCTCATTCCACTGCGTGGCAGATGGAACACTTGTACCTCTGTTGACTCAAAGAACTTGTCTGGTAGAAACGATATCAGTAGATGACAATGTATTCAAACAAACATTCCACATGCGATCGAATGTCAATTTCTGAGATGGCCAGACAAAGGGCACCACTACTGACAATTTGAACACACTCACCCACACACTTTGGTCAGTTGGCAATCGCTTTCAATTACACGAGCAATTGCCAATGCTTGGGTGTAGGCGTTGTCCGAAAACGCAATGGCAATGGTTTGTTAGTGGTAGTGGCAAAAATGAAAATATTTGCCCATTTGGTGGTTTGCTTTGATTTCGAAATTTATATACTTTTTAGGGCAGAAACTTAATGGCACCGTCTGGATTGTCATGAAGGCTCGATAAAATATCTATATGGAAAACGGTAGTTAGCGGGTAAATGACAGCAAATGTGAGTCCGTCAGTGGCATCAAGTTGCCTTTTAAATTTGAATTCAAATTAGCGCAGTGCAGTGGCCAGAAGTGCTGCTGCAAACACACTCTGGCAGACAAGCAAGCACATTGATTGGCGCAGCTTGGAAGGAGCATCAATACAGAGCAGTTCAGCGTAAATGTAGCAAGCGTCAAAGTCTGATGCGTCAAGGCTGCTCATTAAAAAGTGTTCACGAAGCGTGACAATTTCGATTTAGTAGCGAAAGATGCGCTGGCACTTCCTCCACTGTCAGACCGGGCCCAATTACACAATCGGGCTGGCCAGCACAGTGGCCCAATTATGTCGCCACTTAATTGGCTTTCCTGCCGCCCTAATCCGCCAAATGTTCCGCCGAGAAGCAGCCGTCTCAATTAATAACCGCCAGCTCTGTACCGCCTTTTGCACCATTTGGCGCGCCGATCAGTAGCCATTAGCCGGAATTGCAGAGTTGTAGAGTAAAAGTGAGAGGAGAGAGAACGCCCGCAATTGAATTAGTGGTGAATTAGTAGTGCACAGTGGCAGTGAACAGGTTGCCCTTTCTAAACGGGCACCAGAACAGATACAGACAGACACACTGAAAACGCTCCTACCAATGAACTAATTTAAATTAAATTAACTCCTTTTAAAAGTGATGCTCCTTCTTTGTGGTCTAAAAGTCAAGAAACGGAAAAGTTCAGTACAAAGACTGCGCTACTACTGCCCACTGCACTGCACAACAGCCAAACTCCAGTGTGGAGCAAATATTCTCTGAGTAGCCTCAGGAGCATTAAACAGATGATGAATGTTGGCAAACTAGCTTCATTTGATTTAGCTGACTAACTACTACTACTACCGCAGTGCAGTTAGAAATAAAATTTAGCCTTGGGACGGGCAGAACAGACACGCTCAACTAGGCACAACGGGGAAGGACCGTTCTTCCTTGGCCCATGATTTGGTTGGTAATTATTAAGACACATTCAAATTAGAGCCATCTCCGCAGCGCCAAACAACGACAGTAGTCGGTTAATTTGCCGAGAAGAAAGTAGAGTGGGCAAGTCAATCAATTAACCGCAAAGAGTTTGTTTGCCTGGGGCACATGGTACAGTGAAGTGAAGCAAAAGTGGCAGACACGGGGGAACGTACCTGAGGAGTCATTGAGGAGGGAGGAAGGAGTGAAGAAAGTGGTGAAGTCGCTTTGGGTGGCCACTGCCGGCACAGGGTGCTGGTGGCAGTGGACAGAGAGGGCAGAAGAGAGGCAGAAGATGGCCGCTACGGCTGTGGCTACGACGGTGATTGTCCTGGCCGGCGTCGATGGGATTAGAGGCGCCATGGACACTGCTGACTGCATGGCACGCATTCGTCGATGTCCGAGTCAGCGAGTGAGGCAGGCGAGGCACCGCTCAGCAAAGTGGCTCGCTTCGCTTTGTTTGCCTTCTCGACCACAGGCACTGGACATAATAATAGATCGGTTTCGCTTGCTAATTTACTGAGCTGCAACTACTGCCGAAGCGCTGGTGGTAGTTGCTGCTGATGCTGTTGCCTCGCTACAGTTTGTCGTGACTGCGCCCATTACGGAAGGCGGCCCGCGGGAGACGATGGCGATAGACAAAACGACAAACGGAACTGAATTGCCGACGAGGTGCTCTTGGTGTTGCGACTTGCTCAGACTGGCTGCACTTGCTGCACTTTCACCAGACACAGCCGTGGTCGTAGTGACACTGAACACTGGATATGGCTCTTCGCATTGCAATCACGTAAGATGGACACACACACTTTTAATTCATCGCAATCTGATGGACTCGATGGCGGTGGGTGGTGGCGGTGGCGGTGACGATGACGACTGCTGCCACTGCTATTGCTGCTAGCGGACTAGCAGACTAGCAGTGGTGAATGATATCGACATGTGGTGATTGGTCTGTCAGCCAGGCAAATGTATGGGTCGTGATTAACGCCATATGAGAGTGGAAGAGGAAGAGAAACGAAACGGCGAATAATAAGAATGAGTAAGTGAGAGTGACAAAGCTGACAGTGATGCAGGCTATTCGCAGAATGGCCAGAGAGTGGGCCAGTTCGAGTCACAGCAGTAGAGGACATTGAAATGCAAATGGACAAAGCAGTTCGGACTGAGTTGGGCTTTGTAGCAAATGACACTGGGGCACAGTGAACACACACTCACACACACATGGACACCTCGCACTGAGAATGACAATTATGAGCTGAGCTGCTTTACGATTACTGCTGCTGGCACACACTGCTGGTCGCAGATCGGCGGATCTGCGAGGAGCTGCTGCTGCCTACTGGCTTCTGGCGCGTCGCCTGTTCGAATGACGCTGAGGAAGGCGGCAAGCACACACTGGCCCACTGCACACTGGCACTTTCGAACGCGGACGCTTTCATGGGTGATGCGCACTGAAGTCGGCCACTGCTGCCACTCCACCAACAGTGGGGCCAGTCTGGGCGCAGTGCATCGCCAGGAGGTGCCAGACGGAGAGAAGGAGAAGTAGAACGCTGGGGAGGAGAGTGCCACCAGTGGCTGACACCAGCCGCTGCCGCTTCTATTGCTGCTGCGTCTGCTTCGATCTTCAGCCGTCTGACCAGCTGGAGTCATCGATTGTTCGCCAGCGAGGAAAGTCTGCAGCAAATCAAAAGTGCAGCCTGTCCAGCCGAAAGATGACGACCGCGGCAGCAGCCCTAGTGGCAGTAAAAAATTCTGCAGTGAAGCGAGTCGATACGGCACAAGCTCGTGGGCACAATCAAACTCTAATTAGCATCACAAAGATCAGAGAACATGAAAACTGTGCTCCTGCCACTGACTAGCATGAATAACGGGTTTCAGGGAGAGACATTACTATGATTATTAATATAAATAGCATTCAAATAGGCAAATTATGCATTATACGGAGATGGAGACTCCATATAGACTTTGGGCACATGACACACACTCACACATAACCTGGGCACAGAGCTGCGACCGCGACACAGTCGAGACGATGCGGACACCACTGGGCCAGAATCTGCAGTCGATCTCAATTGGAGCAAAGAGAGTTGTCAGTGGTGCTGCTGCACTCACAATTCCGACAGATAAATTATTTGCGTCATAAATTTCCAGGCAAATTACCGAATGACAGTGCGAAGGCATGGAGAGACAGAGGGAGAGGGAGAGAGAGAATGGCATGAGTTATCACTGGCGACACGACAAGTCACTCCATCGTCGTCTTCGCGACAAATGGGTGGTGATGGTTGTGGTAGTGATGGTGGTGAGAAGAAGGGGCCAAAGAGACCATCAGCAACTGCCACCGGCGAATCAACAAAGGCCATCTGTCTACGGCAATTTGTTGATTGCCATTGAGGCACTGTCCCACAGACTGCACAGTCACTTTGCAACTGTCGTTCTCCGACGACCTACTGAGAAGACTTGGACTTACCAGCGTCGGCCATGTTTTCTCTCTATTCGGATAGCTGGATGATCATCGTCGTCTTCAGTTGCATGGTCCTTTCGCTGTCTCTCAGTTGCTTCTTCCTCGTCTGGCAAGCGCGATCCAGTCGTGCTCAAACCATTCAACTTCCATTTGGTCCGACATTTCAATTGCTCTATTCAGAGGAGCAGTGGGGCGGCAACACTGGAAGAGAAAGAAACATATTCTAAACAACTTACACGCCTGATTTTGATCCAGACCGAGATACTTTTTTTCAAAAATCACAATTTTTTTCACTATTATCTCAGTCGCTCCACCTGCTGGGAGCGAAACTAGTTTTGATCGTCGATAGTGCCGGCAACCATCGATACACACGTGCGAAAATTCCACACGCCTTTGAGAAGGCATTTTCTGGCAAGTTCTCCCTCCTGCTATTGTTTATGAAGCAGTGCCTGATTTGAAGCCGCCGCTGTTGCACTATCGCATCGTCTGCGCCCACTTACCAGTCTTCACTTGAGAGTGCCAGTAGATACTTCGGCAATACACCTCTTCCAACACAGCCTCCAATTGAACCATGGCCAGCGTTGGTACTCTCGCCTTTGATGAGTTCGGCAGGCCATTCTTTATTCTCAAGGACCAGGACAAGCAGAAGCGTATGGTCGGCAATGAAGCTATCAAGGTAAGCAAATCTTGTGATGTACTTCGACCGTGATAATCATAATGCCTCCATTCACAGAGTCATATCTTGGCGGGCATGAGCGTCTCCAAGACACTGCGGACATCGCTCGGTCCAAAGGGGCTTGATAAGATCATGATCTCCCCTGATGGTGACGTGACAATCACCAACGACGGTGCGACCATTCTGAAGATGATGGACATGGAACATCAGATTGCAAAGCTGCTCGTGCAGCTGTCCCAGTCGCAGGACGATGAAATCGGTGATGGAACCACCGGTGTTGTGGGTTAGTTTATCTCTGTTCTCTGGGAAAGAAATTGACTCGATTGTTAATGTTTGTTTTGCATCTTTTTAGTTTTGGCCGGTGCTTTGCTCGAACAAGCTGAACAACTGCTTGACAAGGGCATCCACCCTATCCGAATTGCCGATGGCTTTGAGATGGCAGCTCGTCACGCAATGGAGCATCTCAACAAGATCAGCGAAAGCTTTCCCATTGCCAAGGACAACTTGGAGCCACTGATTCAAACGGCTATGACAACTTTGAACTCAAAGATCGTCAACCGCTGTCTTCGTCAGTTTGCCGAGATCGCTGTGAACGCCGTCATTTCGGTTGCCGATCTGGATCGAAAGGACGTGTCGTTTGAGCTGATCAAGGTCGAGGGAAAGACTGGCGGCAAGCTGGAGGACACCCTCTTGGTGAAAGGTGTGATTGTCGACAAGAACTTCAGTCACCCGCAGATGCCTACTGAGCTGAAGAACGTCAAGTTGGCCATTCTGACCTGCCCGTTTGAGCCCCCGAAGCCAAAGACCAAGCACAAGCTGGACATTACCTCGGTGGAGGACTATCGCCAGCTGCGAAAGTACGAGATTGAAAAGTTTGAAGGAATCGTGAATAAGGTGAAGGAAGCCGGTGCCAATTTAGTCATCTGCCAGTGGGGCTTTGACGATGAGGCCAATCATCTGCTGCTGCAGAAGGAGCTGCCCGCCGTCCGATGGGTCGGTGGTCCGGAGATTGAGCTGATTGCAATTGCCACTGGTGGCCGCATTGTGCCTCGCTTTGAAGAGCTAACACCCGAGAAGCTCGGCAAAGCCGGCATAGTACGCGAGCTGTCTTTCGGAACGACTCGCGAGAAGATGCTTGTGATTGAAGAGTGTGAGAACACCAAGGCTGTGACTATCTTCATTCGCGGCGGCAACAAAATGATCGTCGAGGAGGCGAAGCGCAGCTTGAATGATGCCATTTGCGTCGTCCGAAACCTGATCAAGGATAACCGCATCGTCTATGGCGGCGGTGCCTCTGAGATCTCCTGCGCTCTGGCCGTCTCTGAGGAGGCTGACAAGATCACCTCCCTGGAACAGTACGCCTTCCGTGCTTTCGCTGATGCTCTGGAGTCGATTCCACTGGCTCTGGCTGAGAACAGTGGTCTCTCGCCCATTGAAACAGTGGCTGAAGTGAAGGCTCGCCAGCTGAAGGAATCCAAACCCCATCTGGGCATTGACTGTATGCTTAAGGGAACCAATGGTGAGTTGCTCATTAGGCCTAATGTTCTAAACAACCATATTCTGACAAATTCCCTTGCTTTCTTTACAGACATGAAGGCGCAGAATGTTATTGAGACTCTGAACAGCAAGAAGCAGCAGCTCAGTCTGGCGACTCAACTCGTCAAAATGATACTTAAGATTGATGACATCCGATCATCAGAAGGCTCTGGCATGTACTAATCCTTTCCCTGCTACTACTCAGCAACAACTCATTGGGTCCTGTATTACTAATTACAATTATTGCACGGTTATTTAATAAATTGCTTTGCTTTGATTATTCTGTTTGTTTCACTTTTTGTTTCAAACCCAAAAGCCATTGCGACTCACCGTGTCTTCTCACTGTGCAAATAGGTGAGCGTGCGCATTGAGCAAAAATGGGCTTGGCCATCCACCATTTTGGGCAGCCCACTCACGTTGATGCAGCAGCAGCAGCAGCAGAACTGTGTGTGTGCTATCATCATTCTCTCCTCTTCTCTCTTCTCTTTTCCCTCTGCTCCTTTGTTTGTCCCGGCATTCATCCTGAATCGGCGTCTTCTCGCGCACTGTCTCGAATTCCTGTGTGTCAGCATCAACTTCCAGCTCCTCACCACACTCATCGACTACTTCTGGTCAAGACGAGAGTATAATGACTGGAACTGAAGTAAGTAATTCCCCCTACAAGCGCGTGCAACCTTAACCGTAAACACTGTGTTTCCCTAGTCAAACGGTCATTCCGAAGCTAAACTGGAAGAGCAATCAATGGATCAACCGCAAGATCTGCTTAACGATCTCAACGACGAGAACGGCGACGCGAATGGCGACCCCGAGGAAGAGCCCGAGCAGTTTCGAAAGCTGTTCATCGGCGGCCTAGACTACAAGACCACCGAAGATACGTTGAAGGCGCACTTTGCACAATGGGGTGATATCGTCGACTGCGTGGTGATGCGTGATCCCCAAACCAAGCGATCCCGCGGCTTTGGCTTTATCACCTACTGCAAGTCCTCAATGGTGGATGCCGCCCAGAAGGCTCGCCCACACAAAGTTGATGGTCGTGAAGTGGAACCGAAGCGCGCCGTCCCTCGAGAGGTAAGGGAATTTCTATTTTGAGTGTTATCTATTTTTTCCCTGTGCCTCATATTTATATTTTCATCTTTCTTCAACCAGGACTCTGGCAAACCCGAAGCACAGGCAACGGTGAAGAAAATCTTTCTTGGCGGTCTCAAGGAAGACGTCGAAGAGATCGATCTGCGCGACTACTTCATCGAGTATGGAGCAGTCATCAACGTAAACATCGTCACTGAGAAGGACACCGGCAAGAAGCGAGGTTTTGCTTTCGTCGAGTTCGATGACTACGACCCCGTGGACAAGATTGTCTGTAAGTGCACTTTAGTTTTAAACTTCTGCAATGCCTCATTTTACAATTTGCTATCATCGAATCTAGTGAAGAGACATCATGTGATCAAAGGCAAGAGGACAGAAGTGAAGAAAGCTCTGTCCAAGCAAGAGATGGACACCATGAAGCGCAAGACCGAGGCACGCAATGTCGGTCGCGGTGGTGGCCGAAACGCTCCTGTTTGGGATTCTGGCCCCAGCGGGTACGGCGGAAACCAAGGCGGGTACGGAGGATACAACCAATGTAAGTGCTTACTCTTCCCGGGATCGCTGTACCATGGTAGTTAATGCTTGCATTTTCCCTGATCAGACGGCAACTATGGAGGTGGCGGCGGTGGTGGCGGAGCTGGGTACGGCCAAAACAGCGGCTACAACCAGAGCTGGAACAACCAGAGCCAAGGTGGCTGGAGCTCGGACTACGGAAACGCCGGCTACGGAAGCAGCTATGGGGGCGGTCCGATGCGAGGAGGTAATAACTATACCCACCGTAGTGGCGGACCATACGGAGGTAAGCCCAGCTGGCCTGGTGGCGCTGACTCCCTTCTCACTTCATTTCTCTCGCAATAATTAGGAGCAGGTGGTTATGGAAGTCAGTACGGCGGCGGGTACGGCTCGCGCCGAGGATAAACCGGTCGATGTTTTATATAAAGGGGTAAGTAGGCACATTCCTTTTCTTTGCTTGCTTCCATTTGATGTCTCTTCAACCGATCATAATAATGCTTACCTGTTAACCTTTTCTTTATTCGTTGCATTCTCTAGGGTTTACAGACTTAATGAGATCTTATCGATGTGTAAGGGCTAATTAAGATACAGTCAAATCGAGTCAGTCAAGTGTGATTAATCTCGTTAAGTAACTCGAACCATATTAGGTGCGCGTTGCAAAGAACAACAAACCAGCCAGCAGCCAATGTCAGCAGAGTTGCAAAAAGTTGCAGGAACACAGTTGCAGACTCGATCTTGAAGAACTATCTTTTCTCTAATTATGCGTAAGCGTTTACGTAAGCGAAGTTAACGTCAGTCCAGTTCACTAATAAACCCCCGGAATATAAATCGACTCGTCATTATTATTTATCTCTTATACTCTTACCCACTACTATTACTATTACTTCAATATTATTTGAGATAGTATCGATGTAACCAAACTTTGAAGGTGTGCACTTTATATACGATAAGAAACATGTAACAAGTTAATCGAACCAAGCTTTACTATATTATTCATCCCTCACCACTTGCAACTTATGTACCCATTTTTTTCGTTTACCTCCAACTGAGTGAATGAACTCAACCAATTTTTATGTAACAAGACAAGACGTTTTCATTCTAAAAACAGTCGCAATTTCCCCATTTTTCAGCATGCACCTTTCTCACTTTTTCGACTTTTTTCATGTAGCCAATAAAGTGTAGCACACAATCAGTTTTTCAGCTCCTTGATCATGTTTTGCCTCTCTTTATCATGTGTAGTTTTACTGAACTTGTTTTGTAAATTCTATGACAGNTGTTTTGCCTCTCTTTCTTTATCATGTGTAGTTTTACTGAACTTGTTTTGTAAATTCTATGACAGCTCTTTCTCAGCAAGAGTATAGGAGGTAACCGAAGTCGCGCGCAGTGTCCGAGCACAGGCGTTTTTTTCGATCTTTCCGCTTACCGTCTCGCAGTACTCGTCTTCTTCTACACAAATTAAATCTTGTATTCTTTTTCTCCATTTTCAGTTCGTAGACGTACCCCACACCACCCCATCAAGATGACCAAGCACTTGGCAAGCCAAGGAACTGGGCGATGAAGATGGCCTGGACTGGCTGATTGGAACAGCGGCACTTCTAGACGCTACAGAAGGCAGCTACTCTTTTAGAAATGTGTACATTCTTTGGCGCTCCAGTGTCGTCCTGTTTTGTTCAACCCCTTTCGGATCGACCTCCTGCGCACACTTTTGACCATGATCTCTGACAATGCTCAACCACTCTTTGATTGATCTCTCAGTTTGCTGTGATATTGCCGACAATAAGAGTAATAAATAAAGAAATGATTCGTTCAACTTTGAATAAAAGTTTAATGACAGGTCTTGGTGTTTCATTACAAAATAAGCCCAAAAGCTTAACGCTTTCGGCGGAGCTGGAGGATGTTGCGTCTGCGCCAGTTGCCACGACGAGAGCCGCCAATGGTCTTCGAATAGCCAACACCAGATCCTCGCAGACCACGGTGCTTCTTGCCGGCGCTGGTCAGGCCGCGCAGTTCTCGGTGCTTCTGCACAGCGGCGCAGATCCAGTTGATTTTGGGGTCGCGACGGATTGCCTTGTGGAAGGGATCGATGCAGATGACCTGAAAGCAAAGTGGAGTTCGAAATTAGCAAATGTATATTTTGCAAAGTTTTGTAAACACATACCTCGTAGAACTTGAAGGTGGAGTCCTGGCCAACCCAGTAGGAGCCGAGGATTCGCAGGGCCTTGGCCACACGACGACCAACACGCTCCTCAGCGATAGCCTGGTGGTTTCGCTTGGGCTTCAGCTCGTTCACACCGTGGTTCTTGGGCTTACCATAAGTGGCACCTGAAAGCGTGTGTGTATTGCCAGGTTATAGCTTTGTCAGTCTCTTTGGAAGAAAGCAAAACACTTACCCTTGGGAGCCTGGCGCTTGCGACCACCACGGCGGATTCGGATGCGGTAGACGAGGACGCCCTGCTTGGCCTTGTATCCCAGACGGCGAGCCTTCTCGGGACGAGTCGGGCGAGGGCACCGGTGGACGACGTTCAGTTGGCGGTACTGCCAGGTGCGGACGCGCAGCAGGAAGCGCATCACATCCGACTGCTTGTGACGCCAAATCTCTTGCATGTACTTGTATGCACCCATGATGGAGCGGTTGGGTCAAGAAGGATCCAGCAAGGAGAGCAACTTTTGGATGAAAACACGAGGGATCCTCGCAGGAAGGGAAAAGGCTGAGCGGACGCTACAAAAAAGAACTGCACGTTTTCACTGGCAGGCTGCACGGGAAATCCGTAGAAGACGTAACCAATCGATTGTGCGCCGCCAGCATCGATACTCACCAGTCGAGATTCCTCAAAATTCAAAGGATTTGCTGCCATTTTGCCGCCAAGTATTTGGGCGTGGCCTGGTTTCTCGGCTCTGGTTTGCAAGAGTAGATTTGTACAAAGCAAAAGTGATGGTACTGCGACAGGTCATGTCATCAGTGCTGATGAAGGCTTATGAATATTGCCTTCAAACTGTCAGACGTGCACTGTTGATTGACAGGCTCAAATGAAGATTTTCCATTGGCGGCCTCGGCGCCCATTACTACCAGCCATTGGCGGTGAAGAGGCCCTCTGGACTTGGTGGATTGCCGCACATCCTGGTGCGAAGATGATGACGATAGTGATGAAGATGATGCTGTTGAAACTGCATTCATTAGCTTCGACAGTGTTGTTATTGTCTCTCCGCCCGGCGGTGGTATCTAATCAGTCAGCCTGGCGATGTCACTTGATACCGCCTGGTGGTGGTGTCGCCGTGCGAAGAGGCCGAAAGCCGACAGAAGCATCCCTCGCGCTCCGAGTCTTGGCAGTGGCGACGATGACGATCTTCATATCGTCCTTGTCCATCACAGTGGCACAGTGGAGAGTGCATGTTGTGTGCAGTGTGCTGAAATACGGTTTAGCGGTGTGCAGCCGTCTCTGGCGAATCCATTCGGCACCAAACCATGCCATGTTCGGCTGTGAAGTTCTGCACGACCACTGCTCTTCACTGCCTGAGCGGACCAGACACCAGCGTTCCAGTGCGCCATGTCACTGCTGGACCCCCACCGATTCAACAGCAAACATGCCGGCGAGAGTGATCGAGTGAATGTGGGCGAGGAGGATGAGTTTGTGCTGGAGGGCTACGTGCCCTCACTGCTGCGGCTAGCCCTTCTGGTCATTCTCTCCATCCTCAGCGGTGGCATCCTCGTCATTCTTTTCTCCTGGCGGCCCTCGCTCAAGGCGCGCATCTCCAACCGACGGTGCTCTCTGGAGCAGGCACGACTGCTTATTCTAAGGGCAAGTAGGCGTCACCGGTAGCACTGTAACACCTACCTGCACATGACCTCACCAGTTTAACCGGTAGTTGCTGTTTGCAGAGTAAACAGGGACAGGAATTCCTTGAAGCAGTGCACACTTCACAACGCGATCGTTCATTCAGCTTTCGCTACTTCACCCACAAGAAGCTTAAATACATTTGGAATAGTGAATACAAACAGTTTGATCGACTCAAGTAGGAAGTGCGGTTCACTGCTTATCTTCTCTCCTTCTCACCACGATACTTTACTTCCTTCTTCAGAGGTCTCGAAGCTGAGCGCTGCAGTGTCATCTACAGCCAAGTGGAGGGCGCCACATCATCGGAAGCGGCTCTAAAGTTAGACCTGTACGGCTCAAACTCAATTGAAATTGAAGTGCGACCTCTACTCTGGCTGATCATTGATGAAGTTAGTCAAACCCTAATGTTTTAACTGACACCAACTAACACCTTTTTTCATTTATTTGAACTACTTAAGATCACAGGGCCTTTTTACCTATATCAGTTTTTCATCTGTTCTATTTGGCTTATACAACTTTACTATCAGTTTGCAACGTGCATTCTCCTGCTTTCTGCCGTTTCGGTACGTCTGATTAATTGCAAGGCTTTTGTTTCACTTTACCAGTCCCAATATTTTACAGGTGGCCACGCATGTTTGGCAAACTCGGAAGGTTCGGTTTACTGAGATTGTATACAGACAGGTTTAACTATAACATCTTTGCAGCAATCAATTGCTCTTCGAGAGCAAGTTCAGTCGGCGTCCAGTGTGCAGGTGATTCGCGATGGAAATGAGCTGACCATCAGCTCAGTCCAACTGGTGCCCGGTGATGTGCTGGTATTGCCCCGTCACAGTGCCGGCACAATGCTCGAGTGTGATGCCGTCCTCATGACAGGCTCGTGCATTGTCGACGAGAGCATGCTCACCGGCGAGTCGGTGCCCACGCCCAAAGTGGCCCTGGTCGAGGACTCCAGCTCCTTCTACTCACCGGCACTGCACAAAAGCAACACGCTCTTCTCGGGAACTCGAGTGCTGACGGTGCAGGGCGCCAAGGAGAGCCAGGGAAAGGTGAAGGCAGTGGTGGTGCGCACTGGGTTCGCCACTGCAAAGGGCGAACTGGCTCGAAGTATTCTCTTTCCACTAACGGCGAACAACAACTTGAAGAAACAGCTAATTAAAATGTCCGCCATCTTCTTTGTCATTGGCATTCCTTGCATGGCCTACACAGTGTACGCCCTGTCTCGCTTTAAGGTGAGCAGTTTTGGTACGAGTAATCAATTCTCTAATCATTGCATCTGTTACAGTACGCCAGTCATGACATCTTCATCATCGTCCTCGATGTGGCCACTTTTCTCATTCCACCGGTGCTGCCAGCTGTGCTGACTAGCATAAATGTGCACGCTCAGAGGCGGCTAAAGACAAAGGACATCTACTGTCTCAATCCTCGAATGATCAGCTGTTCAGGAGAGGTTGATGTGATGTGCTTCGACAAGACGGGTACACTTACCGACGACACAATCGAATTTGCTGGTGTCGTTCCAGTCAGTGATGGTCACTTTGAGGAGATGCAGACTGACCTCGAGCAGTCCAATATTGACGACCACGCGATAGTGCGCTCAATGGCAGCCTGTAACTCGCTGGTCGAGTATGAAGACAAGGTCGAGGGTGATGACCTCGACTTGAAGCTATTTACAGTCACTGGGTGGAAATTTACGGCCGATTATGATGCAGCTCTTTTTGAGAAGGCCCCTGAACGCGTGGTGACCAGTGGAAGTGGCGCTCATACAGTGGCCATCATGAAGCAGTTTCCATTCGAGTCTTTTTTGCAGCGAATGTTGGTCATTGTTCGAGACACACAGAGGTCCTCTAATGTGGCCATCGTCAAAGGGGCACCGGAAATAGTTGCCTCCTTTTGTACTTCGGAAAGCATTCCAAAAGACTTTTTAGAAGTCTTTGAATCGTACACTCGTCGTGGCTTTCGAGTGCTCGCCACTGCAATCAAGGTGATTCCTGATGATGGCGTGGACATGAGTCGAAGTGAAATCGAGTGCCAGATGGAATTCGTCGGACTGTTTCTTTTCAAGAACAAACTCAAAGAGGCAACCTTTGATGTGCTGCAGGAGCTTCGCAGGGCAAACATCAGATGCATCATGGCAACGGGCGACAGTCTTCTCACTGGCATCAGTGTCGCCGAGGAGTGTCAACTGGTGGACAAATCAGACGCCATCATCAGAGTGCGAGCCCACCTGGACAAGTCGTCGAAAAAGGTGCAGGTGCAGTACAGCTACATCAAGTACCCCGACTTTGTGCTGAAGAACGACAACAATGCCAACTTTGAGCAGGCCAGTGGTGGTCATTTCAGGTACCACTTTGCCATTGAGGGCGACTCCTTTAACACCATCCGCGCGGCTGATTCACAGCTGATCGAGCGGATAGTCCACAAGGGCACCATCTTTGCGAGAATGTCTCCTGACCAAAAGCTGAGTCTAGTGAATCTGCTGCAGAAGCAGAATCACAACGTGGGCATGTGTGGTGATGGTGAGTTCTAGACTATCATCAGGTAACTTCTCCATTAGTTCCCTTGTTCACTGTTGTTTGATGTGCCCTGACAGGTGCCAATGACTGCGGCGCTCTGCGAGCAGCCGACGCGGGAATCGCCCTCTCTGTGGCGGAAGCTTCCGTGGCCTCTCCCTTTACCTTCAAACAGAAGGACATCTCCTGTGTGCCCTCACTGCTGAAGGAAGGTCGATGCACACTGGCGGCCATTTTCGGCGCCTTCAAGTACCAGGTCTGCTACTGTTTCATCCTCCTCGGCACGGTGCTCATTCTCTTCTGGCACGGCACTAAGCCGGCAGAAGGCACCTACGTCTTTGTGGACATCATCCTCAACATTCTCCCGCCGATGCTCTTTGGCACGACGAAGCCCTTTCGAACTCTCGTTCCGACAATGCCTTTTCGGAACATTCTCAGCGCTGTTCCGCAGCTTTCCATGTACTCCTTCATTCTGGTGCAAGTGGCCATTTACTACTACGTTAGTCGGTCTCTGACACAACAACCATGGCAAGTGAGCTTTTTCGGTCATCTCAATGTTCACTGACACCATCCTTTCTCAATTATTAGGTATGAGCCAATGAAACCAAATCTAAACAATATCATGGAACCTCCGACCAATCATCTTGCCTATGCAGTTTTTTCTGCAAACATGATGTCCTATGTCATTTCTGCCATTATTTTTGCTCCAGGCCCACCATACAGAGAAAGCTTCTTTTCAAATAGTAAGTTTATAAATCTTTACTTTATTAATTTTCCCACTGCTAATATGAGCACTTTACAGAGAAATACATCGCTGTAGTAGTGATAAACTTCCTCCTAATTGGTACAGCTACCTTAATCGCACCTTCATTTCTCATCGACTACCTCCAGGTATGGAAAACAGTTCATATCAATCAATGTAGGCTGAAACGTGTCACCATTTGTTCAATTGTTCATTTAGTTCAATGCAATGCCATTTGATTTTCGACTGAAGATATTCCTCATTTCGATGGGCAACTTTGTGTTCAGCTTCATTTGGGAAAAGATCTTCCTGGAGCAGGTGCTAAGACAGGCAATAGTGCGTCTGAAGAGGCGACTAAAGGTAAAGTCCTCCAAGCGATTCAAGGCGATTGAAGAGGAAATCAAAGCAGAGAGCTGGCCTTTCAATAACGTCATCGCCAGTGAACGACACCGGAAGGACAATGAGCCGAACGCAGTTGGACGACAGCTGACTCGATTTTCCAGCGAAGACCGACTCTAGACTCGACACTTGTAGACTAGAAAGTGTGAATATGTGCGATTTTTTTATTTTTCAGTCAAAGAATTGAAAATTGGGACGATTGAAGGAAGGAATAATAATAAATATAAAAATACAAATGTAACACGTCAGCTTCTTTCCCGGCGAGAGTACAAGTTACTTGACCTTTTTGCTGGCGGTAGATGCCTGCGCCTTTCCGTGTTTCTCCTTTTTTACCAGTTTCGATTTCTTCTTTTCTTCACGCTTTTTCTCTTTCTCCAGCATACTTTGAATTAGCTTGTAGCCAAAGAACACTGCAAAGAAAAAACAATACAAAAATCAAGTCACTCAATTGGCAACCATGATGAAAGGGAATATGAAAACAATTGGACAACGCTATGAGAGAAAGAGAGAGAGAGAGTGCTATGTGTAAACGAACCTAGAACCAGGACTGGCACAAAGATGAGTAGGAGGTTAAACATTTTCGGTACTAGTAATAGAGGACTCAGAAAATGAGACAAACAGCGGCAGGCGACACAGGTTGCACAGGTGAGAGAATGCTGTGATGTGATGGACACGTGTAAAGCGTCGGTGGCAATGAGAGCCGCAGTGGTAGTCAAGTGCTGATCAGACAACTCTACACTGCTCGACCAGTGGCAGCATCGCCTGCAGCTGCAGATGCCACAGCCTAGCCATCACAACTTCAACGTCAGCTCGTCTTGTGCCTTGGAGAGAGAGAGAGAGAGAGAGAGAGAGAGAGAGAGAGAGAGAGAGAGAGNAGAGAGAGAGAGCGGGGAGATAGCGTCGGAGTGGGTGCCACCACAAACCGCCACCACCACCACCACCACCTGTCAGACGGCACTGTATCTGCAGCAGCTCTGTATCGGTGGATCCATCCTCTATCCACAACCTAGACAATCTCCCTATCTTCGTCAGTGCTGTGTGTAGTCTCTGGAAACAGTTCTCTTTGCACAATCAGCCAATCTAAACCGCACATGCATCAGATGTATAAAAATAATGCAAAAGCACAATTTCCTACAGTTTAACATATGTAAAACAATCATTGAACTTTACCGATTAAGGGAACTATGCCGGCGGGAATAATAAACACCCAATTGCTAAATCCGTGTTGGTAAACACCATGTTGATTGACTCCGAATGACGAGTTTCCAGTTAACTCGACCATTTTAACGAGGGAAGTAGTTTCGGCGAATGTTATTATGCTCAAGCTTTTTACTGATCAAACTTTGACCAGCTGTCAACTGTCAAATGATGTAAATAGAGTGGCAAAAAACTTGGCAATGACAGTTTTCAGATGTTAAAACAATAAGGTTTGCTAGTTTTTTAGAGTGACGATGACCAGAAGATCAGTGATAGTGAGAGATGGATAGTCAGCAGATAAGAATTTTCAGCAGATTCTTTAGTTGTCAAATCGGCAGGTGAATGAACTGGAAACTCGCATCTTTCGCACTCAAAAATCTGAGGATTGGGTAGAAATAGGTGAGACGGCGTCGCCTAGGTAGATTGAGAAGCAAACAACAAAACTGACTCGGATTTTGCCGCACGTGCTTGAAAACACAAGATTTTAAAATTGCTTGTATAGAGTTGTTGTTTTAGGAAAAAACTTTTCAACTTTTGTTGTTCATCAGCAATGGATCTTTTTGACGTCTTTAATTTAGACTCTACAGCGAAAAAACGTAAAGCTAATGACATTGAAGAGGATGACGTTGAAGCAGCTGTTCATGAGAAAGTTGACGACAATCTCATTGACCAGCTTATGAGCGATGCCAAGAAACAGAAAAGCGACGATTCTGCTGTTTCCATTGTTGAACCAAGTGCCGATCAATCACAGAATGACCTTGAAAATTTTGCAGGAAACTTGGAAAGTTTTATTCCACGAGCCAAAAAGTGTCAAATCGAAACTAAAGGCTCCGCTGTTCACGAAGTAATTATTCCCGATGATTTAGAATATGTTCCCCTTCGCGACAATAGCGATAATCCGAATTACAAACCGGTTAAAGAATACAAGTTTGTTTTGGATTCTTTTCAAAAGGAAGCCATCTTATGCATTGAAAATAATCAAAGTGTTTTGGGTAAGTTTGTTCTTGTTTGAACTTGTGCTTTTAATCACTTGTTTAACTTTTATTCTTTCCACAGTTTCAGCGCACACTTCTGCCGGTAAAACCGTGGTTGCCGAGTACGCTATTGCTTCTTCGCTGCAGAATAAGCAACGGGTTATCTACACAACACCAATCAAAGCACTAAGCAACCAGAAATACCGAGAATTCCAAGAAGAGTTCGATGATGTCGGTCTGATTACTGGAGACGTGACCATTAACCCTACTGCATCGTGCCTTATCATGACTACTGAAATTTTGCGTTTGATGCTTTTCCGCGGCAGTGAGGTGATGCGTGAAGTTGGCTGGGTCATTTTTGATGAGATTCACTACATGCGAGACAGAGAGCGCGGTGTCATTTGGGAGGAAACCATCATCCTCCTTCCAGACACAGTGCACTACGTCTTTCTCTCTGCAACCCTTCCGAATGCCTGCCAGTTTGCTGAATGGATCGCCCACCTTCACCACCAGGCGTGTCACGTGGTCTACACTGATTACCGACCCGTCCCTCTGAATCATTACATCTACCCGGCCGGTGGAGAGGGCATGCACTTGGTGCTAGATGAAAAGAACAACTTTCGAGAGGACAACTTTAATCTGGCCATGAATGTTCTGCAAAACGCCGGCGATAAAGCCAAAGGTGATATGAACAATCGTGGTCGCAAAGGTGGAATGAAAGGTATTTTGTTCTCTCTGAGAAAGCTGTTTATGTGATTTGCTCAATACTTACTCTCATTTTCAGATGATTCAAATATTCTCAAGGTCATCCGAACCATCATGGAGCGCAGCCTTGCTCCGGTCATCGTTTTTAGCTTTAGCCGTAAGGAATGTGAAGCTTATGCACTTCAAATTAGCAAGCTTGAATTTAATTCTCGTAAGTAAAGTTATAGTTAAAACGAGTTCCTTGGTGTTAATATTGTTCATTATTACTTTAGCTGAAGAGAAAGCACTCGTTGAAGAGGTTTTCAACAATGCAATTGAAGTGCTGAGTGACGAAGACAAGAAATTGCCCCAAGTTCAGCAAATTTTACCACTGCTCAAACGAGGTGTCGGAATTCACCACAGCGGTCTTCTGCCATTGATTAAGGAGACCATTGAAATTCTGTTCGGTGAAGGCTTAATCAAAACTCTCTTTGCTACTGAAACCTTTGCCATGGGTCTCAACATGCCAGCGCGAACGGTAGTCTTTACCAATGCGCGAAAGTTTGACGGCACCGACTTTCGGTGGCTCACCTCGGGCGAGTACATTCAAATGAGTGGCCGCGCTGGTCGCCGAGGCCTCGATGAGCGTGGTATTGTCATTCTCATGATTGATGAAAAAATGAGCCCAGCGGTGGGCAAGGAGCTGGTCCGTGGTAAACCAGATCCAATCAACTCTGCATTTCATCTCACCTACAACATGGTTCTCAACCTCCTTCGCGTTGAAGAGGTCAATCCCGAGTATATGCTGGAGCACAGCTTTTTTCAATTTCAACATTACCTTGAATATCCTAAACTCAATGAAAGTAAGTGGCTCTGTCAAAGCTTCATACATTTTACTTATTCAAGTTCTTTTTTGCAGAGTACAATGAGTTCAAGAAAGAACTCGAGGAAATTAACGTTGATGATGAAAAGAACATTTCCGATTACATTAAAATTAAAAATCAGCTACTACGATCTGAAAAGGAGTTTCAAGCTTTTCTCACCAATCCTCGATACATTTTGGGATTTCTCAACTCTGGCCGACTTCTAAAAGTAAGTTCTGCGAAAGTTCCTATGGCATATATTGATACTTTTTATATGATCAATAGATTTCATCCAACGACAACATCGACATGGACTGGGGCGTTTGTGTGAACTTCAAGAAGATAAATAAACGAGATCAAGATCCTGTTTACACTGTTGACGTGCTTTTACTTGTGGACAAAAAGATCGATCCATCAAGTGAAGCTCTGCTGCCGCCTTCTGCAAATGACAAAGGCGAAATGAAAGTCGCTACGCTGGCGCTAAAGAACATTACCCAAGTGAGTTCGGCGCGTGTTTTTCTTCCAAACGACCTGAGGCCGATGGATAATCGACAGTCAGTGCTCAAGTCGATTAACGAAGTTAAGAAACGCTTTGGCAAAGTGCCACTTTTGGATCCTCTGGAAGATATGAAAATTAAAGATACGGACTTTCTCAATTTAGTAAAGAATATTGAAAAATGCGAGAAACGACTTCAGGAGTTTAAGAATATCGACCCTCAAAGTGCTGAAAAGTACGAGAAAAAGCTAAAACTTGAGGAAGAAATGGCCAATTTGAAGATTCAGATGAAAAAGACTCGCAGTCTGCTGCAGATGGACGAACTCAAGTGTCGAAAGCGTGTGCTTCGTCGACTTGGCTACTGTACTTCGGCGGATGTTATCGAAATCAAAGGCCGTGTGGCTTGCGAAATTTCCAGGTTTGTTAACATGCTTTGTAACTCTACTACTGAAACACTTTCTAACAATTCTTTTTATAGTGGTGATGAACTCCTACTCACCGAAATGCTTTTTCAAGGCGCTTTCAACGAGTTGAATGTCTACCAAATTGCTGCCCTTCTCAGCTGTTTTGTTTTTGAGGAGAAAACACAACAACAGCCCAAATTAACCGAGGAGCTTTCAAAGCCACTAAAAACAATGCAAGAGCTTGCCAAGAAGATTGCCACCGTTTCAAAGGAGACCAAGTTGGAGATAGATGAGCAAACCTATGTGGAAAAGTTTCGACCCAGTTTAATGGATGTCATCTACGCCTGGGCAAAGGGCCAGCCATTTGGTGAAATATGCAAAATGACCGACGCTTTTGAGGGCTCCATCATTCGTTGCATGCGGCGTCTGGAGGAGTTGCTTCGGCAGATGTGTCAGGCGTCTAAAGTTATTGGCAACACTGATCTGGAAAACAAATTCTCTGAAGCCATCAAACTTATCAAGCGAGACATCGTTTTTGCTGCAAGTCTTTATCTATAAGTGAAAAGAGTGATGCAACTTATCTTTCTGTTATGCTTCAAATAATCGCCTCTTCCATTTTACACATACTGTCATAAAATGAAATTTAAACTCTCATTAATAGGATATTTTCATAAGTTAGCAATAAAAAAGTAAAAAATTGAGTAAGTTTTATTAAAATTTTTGAAGGATTAAAAGTGATTATTTACAAAAATAGAAATAGAAGTATCCTGCTGGGCGATATTGAATATCGAAATTCACTCAACGGATTCACCGCTGGCAATTTTTATCTCTTTCTCGATGGTGTCCATGTTTTCACTCAGGATCTTGAATTCATCCATTGACAAACTGATTCCTTTCTTTCCAGGCTTTTTTTCGCCGCTGTCATTGAAGTAGTATTCACGAATGTCGACACGGACCTTATTCTTGAAGGTGGACACAGTCACATAGCGCGAGTTGCTAAGCTTGATCGAGCCATCCGATGAGGATTCTGGAATGAATACATGCGAATAGGCAACAGTAGTAGAAGTAAACCTTTAAGCTTACCTTCGGATTTAGTCTCGGGCTTAGATTTTTTGTCCGACATCTTTTTAAGATTGACGATTGTTTGAGCAAAGTAGAGATCGAGTGAAGGCAGCTGCGATAAGCTGTCGATGGTGACGCAACGGAGATTAGAAGCGAAATGACTGATTTCGTAAATATCGCGCTGATTTTTATGCGAAAAAGACCTGCTTTTTGGAAAACGAAACTCGTTCGGTAGAAATAGTAAAAAGTCGATGATGAAATATCGTTTTTGAACCAAAAATTTAAAACATTCTGAATTTAATAATTTCAAGAAAATAGCATGAGTTGAGTGGTGTGGCTTACAAAAATAGTGAAATCGGTTGAGATCTTCGCGAGTTAATGAGATTTTAAATACAGATTCGTACATTGCGAGATAGCGAAATGTGGTAGTAATAATTGCTGTGGTGATCAGTGCAAGATGAGGTGAACAGCTGGTGGTGTAGGTGGTGGTGGTGGAAGAAGAGGAGGCTGATAAAGACAGTTCGTAGGTGCCGAAACTGCCGGTGGGTGTGGGTGTGTTCAGCAGCTGAATCTTGGGGTAATGCGAAAGAGAGAGGAAGGGGTGAGGGGCAATGAGGTATTGTTGAGTGCGATCATTTGGGTACGGTAAGAGTTGTACATTGATAAAAACATTGGAATGTAAGAAAATATAAATACTTTGTATATCATGGTCTCTTCTGCCCGAAACGGACACTTTGTACAGGTAATTTGTAGGTATCAAATTTCAGTCTCACAAATAGACGCCAAAGAATTCGTTCCACTTGGTTTCAAAGAATGCTCGCAAGTTGTGGCCTGCCTGGCCAACGGGGGACTCATCTTCGTTAAAGGTGACACAGTTGTCAAACATCAACCGAATGTCCAAGGCAAAGTCCTCTTTATTTTTGTAGCTGCAGGAAAAAGAAACGTATGTTTTAGTTGAGAAAGGAAGCAGTGTCAGTTAGCACACTTACCTGGCTGACTCAAACTTGCACTTGATGACAGTCAAGTCCATTGGGCGCTTGATTATCTTCTTATAGGTGGGAAATTGCTTCGTATTGACAGGCTCAAGAAATGGCCAACAGCTTTCGTGGCTAATCATGCCCTCCATCAGCTGCCGACACTTCTCCAGTTCAGTGTTAATTGCAGGTACCATCAATTCAGAAATCTCGGCCACGGACTTGTCATCCTCCTTTTCCTTCTCTACTTTCTCCTCTTTTGCTGGCTTTGCTTTGCGTTCTTTTTTAGGCTTTTCTGATTTTTCTTTGCCATTGCCGTTAGAAATGCGTTTTGCCTCCTTGTTGTTCGGCGTTGAACTAGGGGAATCGGTGGGTCGATCATCAGGAACAGTGGGAGGATTAGAGCTGTTTGTGTTGTTGGCAGATTTTTTCGAGGCAGACTTGCTAGGGCCAGAGAACCGCTTGTTTTTCCTCTGGCACAAATGACACACCCATTTTCCCTTCAGTTGCCTGCAGTTGAAGCAAATCAAGTTAGATAAAAGCAAACAATAAATTATAATGAAAAAGGACGTACTTGTTCATGGGTGGTTCGAGGCAGATTGGATGAAAGGCCTTGGCGCAGGTGTCGCAGTTGAGCAGCTTGCCCTTCTTGCCGCATACAATGCACACCTTGTCGATGGTATTCTGGTAAAGAGACGAGAAAGAGAAAAAGTACGTTAATTAAAAACTGTGACTCTAATTGACAGTGGCGGAAATTACTTTGTTTTGACAATCAAAGCAATACCAGTCGCCTGTAGGAACTGAATCCATTTTAGGCTTGAAACAATACATGTGATAGCCCTTGTCGCACAAGTCACACAAAAGTAGGTGCGCTTCATTCTCACCCGAGCCACAGAATTGGCAGCTCTAGAGCGAGCGATTAAACGAGAATGCGTGTGAGAGAGAGAAAGCCGATAGGAAAGAGGGAAAGATTGTGGTGAGGATACGTACCGCTCTCATGACAGACTTGTCCCAGGCGATGCTGTTCTCCAGAAAGTGCAGACACATGGCCACCTGTGAGCTGCAGCTCGAGGACATGACTGCATCTCGCCACCGAACCAGACCAGCAGGGATGTTCTCCTCGTGCGAGTACTCGGTGGAGTCGTCGCCATTGGCCATCTCCGAACTGGCCGCCTGGTTCGCCAGACTACTGCTGTTCTTGAAGCCCAGCGGCGGTTTCAGGTACCGTCGTTCAATGGACATCTCCACCTCGAGCAGCTTGTCCCGCTGCACGGTCAGAATGTCATCGTCTCCGGACTCATCACTGTTGCCGTTACTGAGGCTGGTATTTTCGCTGCAAACGCCGTTCTCAGCATGATCATTCTCCAGGCTGCTCCTCTCGGCTGCAGCCGCAGCAGCCGCTGCCGCCGCTGCTGCAATTAGAGCCTTCTGCTTCTTTGAGCTCTTGCCGCCCTTTCCGTTTTTGGTGGCACTAGTGTACGAGATCATTTTGGCTCTAAACTCAGCGCTGGTCACCTGAGTGGAAGGCTTCCAGCTGCGAATCTGCATGCTTGATGCGAGTATCTTCTCCTCGAACGCCTCAATCACCTCGAGCACCTGAATGTCCTTGTTGGCGGTCACCTCGAGACAGTAGCCCTTGACGAGGCATTCCTTGTGTGGGCACCGATTCTGAGTGGGAGCACCGTGTTCGCGGCATTCAGACAGTTCTCGGTCGTAGTCATTCACTTCAAGATTAGATGCTGAGACTTTGCATGACTGCATTGCGTAGTTGAGATGCTTTTCCAGGTGCTTCTGCAGTTTGCTCTCTCGAGCAGCATTGCCGTGGTACAGCTCTATCAGCGATTTTAGCTGCGTCGGGTCGGTGATGCGCCACCAGCCTAGCTGATGCTCGCGGCCAATCTTCAGCGGCACACCGTAGTGGAAGAGCTTCCAAGACTGAATTCGCTTTTGCAAGTTCTGGCAAACCACGGTTTCAGTTTCGCCAATCTCAGTGACAGTGAAGTCGTTAAAGAGTGCGCTTTCTGGAAAGTTGTAGACGATTCGAAGTAGAGTTTCCTTTAGAATAGCCGCGTCCTCGTTCTGCTCAGCGTAGCCAAAGAGACAGTCCATGGTGGCATCGTCAAGGAAAGTTCTCAAACCCTGCTCCAGCTTGCGGTACAGTTTGCTGTCTTTATCATTTGGAAATGGCAACTCCTCGTCATCGTCCTCCTCTATTTCCTCCAGTGCAGACGGATCCTCCACGGCATGGGCTTGTTCGCAATCAAGGTCAATATCAAACCACTTCATGTTGTCCTCTGCCGGTTCATCTGTCTTTTTGCAATCGGCTTCTTCCGTATTTGTTGTTGGTTTGTCTGATGCTGGCTTCTCCAAGTTATTATCTTCTGATTGCTCATTTAATTCACCGTTTTCCACGTTAGCATTTTCTTTGTCACCATTTTCATGGTTAACCATCTCAGTCACCGGATCTTCGCTGCTCTTCAGTTCATTTGCATCATTAGTGCACTTTTCATCACCATTTTCGTTCACTTCTTTTGTTTCTTCAGCTTTCATATTTTTAGTTTCAGGAAGCGAATCGTCCTTGTCGTCTGTTTCGTCTCCATTTTCAAGCTTCACTTGACCATTTTCAACTGGCTCGCTTTTAATACTGATACTGTGGTCCCCCTCTTCATCCTCACCGTTTTCCTCAACTTTGACATCAACAATCTGCTCCTCTTCCTTGATTGCATTTGCATCGATCTCCTCCGGATCGCCCGACTCCATGGCCTCAACGAAAACTCCGCCACTGTTAGGAAGCACCCATAAGGTTCTACGGTAACGGTCCTGGCCGAGTGGAAACACCCGATATGAGTTGAGTGCTCGGTTCAGCTTATTGTTCATCGTGTTCATATTTCGATTTAGGCGGTCAATCTTCTTGTCTATCTCCTCATTGGTCATGCTGATGTCGTCCTCAAATGACTCCTGAATGACTAAAGCAGTCGGTGCTGCGACAATGGTGCTCGTACTTTCCTCGGCGTCGCTGTCCGCAGTGACATCCGCCGATGTTGACGTTGACGTTGAGGCTGATGCAGCTGCTGCTGCAGCCGCTGCAGCGGCGGCTGCTTCATTCTCAGCAGCCTCTTTCTTTGCATTTTCCAGCTCGGCAATGCGTTCTCGTCTCATTTTGACCAATCTCAGCTTGCGAATGTCATTCTCCACAGCCCACTTGTCCTTCTTGTAATTGGTGACGCTTTCAATGTTCTCGTCAATCTGCTTGACGATGGCCTGATTGCATAGAAGTTCATTGCAGAGAAACACCAAAATGTCCAGTTTGACGGAGGCGTTCAATGAAATGAAGGGAATGCCAACGTCCAGCTGTTCAAACAGTCGATACTCGATTCGTTTCTCCTTATCCGCCTCATTGACAACGCTACTGAATGCGTAAAAGTAGAGCCGCAGTATTTCAGTCAGATTGTGTGGTGTCACATTGGCGTCCTTCAACTTTTGCCCCAGCGCAGTTGTCATGTTTGCTGGCATTCCCGGGTC